AAAGAAACGGCCATGTGTCTGACTGAACTGCTAGAAAAAGTCAGCCCGAGTTTCAAACTGCTAAAACGCAGTTTCAAATGCAATTGAAACTCGGACCCTGACTAGACTGCTAAAACGCAGTTCCAAATGCAATTACAAACTGTAACCCTGACTACACCGTAGTTTTCTCTTTTTTTTTTTTTTTAATCTTTCGACTTTCGAGTTCTCAATGATATCCCTTTTGTTTTTTGTTTTTTTTTAACCAAAGCTCTCTATACTTGTGTATGAGGTTGTGTCCTTTCTCATGTTCGTCGACTGCCGCCAAACCGCTCACCATGAATATATATATATATATATATCGTCACAAACAGAACTGCCCGGTAATATATATATATATATCAGCCTCCTGATGAGTCGGTGAAACTCCGACGAAACAGTTTGTCACAGCCCCTGGTTTGTTGTCCTCTTCTCCCTCTCTGCCTACGGTTTACCGGGCAGTTCTATTTGACGATATATATATATATATATATATGGAGAAAGAGAGAGAGTGAGACAAAAATCTCGTTGAAAATTTCAAAATGAATAGGACCACGCGTCATCCCTCGTTTTTACTACGCTTAAAAAAAAAAAACACGATATGATCATCGTTCCCACGGGCTCGGCCGGGGAGTTCCGTGTAGACGCGCATGATGCGCGATATGACCGATCAGGCTGTCTCTCAACCCCTTTCCCAAGACCATGGCGCACGCTGCATCTTCCTCAGGTGGTGGCTGAGGACCAGAAGGCCGTCTCGGTCTCACACGCCGTCTGTGGCGGGCCCTGCTCCCACCATCACATTCATCGCTGCTGCTATCATTGGACAACAGTTTCGGGTCAAGCTCCACTTTGGAATCGACCATGATGTTGTGGAGGATGCAGATGGCCATGAACTCTTTACAAAGAGTTTTCATGTTCGCGATCTGTCTCAGCTGGTGCGCTCAATGCATGACCTTGCTGACGTGTGGCAGTCATCGTACACTCGCTCAGCCGAACGTGCGCTCAATGCATGACCTTACTGACGTGTGGTAGTCATCGTACACTCGCTCAGCTGGTGTCCTGTTGCTCGTTCAACCATGGCAGTTGCGGATAACCGGCGTCACCTAGGAGATACCTTCCCACCCTCCATCCATCACGAAGGACTTCACTCCCCCTTGCAAACACCCCTGTGCCTCGTTGTGCCTGTCGGTAAAGAGGGAAGACTCGGAGGACACGACTATCGTGAACGGATCCGGGACTGCCCACAAACGCACTCACAATACGGCACTCGTGGTTGCACAATACCTGCCCGATCGTAATAGCACTCCCCCCTCTCATTCCTTGGCTTCTTGATGTACATGTGGGTGCAATCAATTGCCCCGACGCAACCAGGAAATCCTTTCCTTCTGAAAGCATCAAGTGTTTCTTGAAGCTTTCGATCAGTTGGGAATTGAAGTAGATGGTCGTACTCCTTGATAAGGGCATCCGCAACATCCTCGTTGCTGCGGAGGGTGCTCGCAAGTCCCACGCCCAAGGAATGTGCCGATTGCCTGTAGAACCCTCCAGTTGCCCAACGAATGAGTGCGCAAGCGAATGTCTGGGTTGTCGGTACGGGCTGTCTCCACTTTGTCTCCTGCCTCTGGATATGAGGAGCGATGCGAGTCAGTACCTCCTCGTACTTCGGTCAGGGGAGTCTACAGAAAAAACACCGACCAACCATGGTAGCGACCATGGATGTCAAGGAAATGCCATGCATCACCGCACCAGCGAGCAACAAAAGAGCGTTGGACATGCCTGGCACGCACGTCGGCACCACAACCGTCGCTTGGATGATGGCCATCGACACGACGTTCCTGTGGTTCATCCACGGCAAGAGAATGAAAACGAGGAGGAACGTCGAATCATCCCATTTGTCCATTTGTGGATCCATGCCTTCGCTGCACGTGTCGGCGTCGTAAACGACGTGGGCAATGAGTAAGTGAATACAACAGCGAGCACCGGATGTGACGCGGCGAAAGGCGCCCAGGAACACGTGTGATAGGCCAACGGTCAGAACCCGATCCGCAATCCTCAGGTCGTGGGTTCAGATAGCCCAGCGGTCGGAACACATATCCCTGCGGTCCCAAAAGGGGCTCGATGTCTTTTCCCAGGCCAGCTTCGCAGTTCCGCTGCTTCGCTTGCCGCGCGGATGGGGCAACACATCGCTCAATGCCACTCACCACGTCGCCCCGGTTTGTGGTGTGGTCCTTCGAAAACCACACGGACACTGCCCGACTTTCCTTTTCGGGTGTACCACACTCTGCCTGTCCTACAAAGGAAAATAAAGCGTCGACTTTGCCGCAAAACGCCCTCCGCGATGGGATCCCCGGAAATTCTTTTCCAAGCTTTCCAAAATCGTTGGCCCGGTTCCCATGGGCAAACCACTTTTCCATCCGCAAAGCTGTGGGGTCCTTGCCATGGAAAGGATGGCACATAAAGGCTTTTCCCAGAGTCCATTGGCTCGACTAGTGCCTGGGGGAGTCTCTTCGGGTGCTGGGCCTGTACGCGCGCCCGACAGACGTGCGTGGTGTTTTGCCACGTGGCGTTTGCTGTTGGTGATGCTGGTGTCCCGCGATGCGTGGACTGGGGTAGCGCCAGCCGTGGAATGATTGACACGTTCACGTCTAGTGGCGGCAGCTTCGATACTAGCAGCAATGATTGGGGAGGGCATGGCGACTTCGCTTCATGAGGGGCTGCGGGGAATCCCTCTTGACCTGCAGGGTGAGGAGGAAGTGTCCGCGTTCTCTACTGTGATAACTTACAAGCAGCAGTTGGAGGAAATGTACGCGGTGTTGTGCCAAGCGAATGGAGAGTTGCCATACGATGTTCTGCTGGAGGGAGAGGAGACCTACGACGGGTGGGATGACGAACTCTACGACCTGATCTCGCTTCGACAGCAGGATGCGACTGACAGAGCGTGGGCGATTGCCGTTTTTTACGACTGCATTGAGATGCTGCAACTAGTCAAAGACACGTTTGCTGATCTTCTGGCGCGGAGAGGCGCGGGTGGTTTCCCAGATACAGAGATGCGGACAGAATCGATAGCACCAGCATCAGTGACAACATCACCAACAACACCATTTTCACCGACAATAGCATTAGCGGCACTGGTATCGACCACAACCACATCATCAGTGGTTAACATGGATAAATTGTCAATATCATCTTCAGCAGTGACCGCTCCAATGACGGCACCGATAACGATATCATCATTGAGTGCACCAACAGTATTCATGACGGCTACACAGACAGAGGCCGTGAGGGCTGTGCTGACAATAACAACACCTATATCAACATCATCGCTATCCAGAGGGGTGGCGCCATCAGTTAACTCTCAGACTGGTTGTGCTTGCCAACGGGAGTTGTTCGCGCAAGGTCATGCTGTATGGGGGTGGGAAGAGGGGCTGCCCCCACACGTGGAGTTTGCGGATTGGCCACGATTGAACGCGTCGAAGTCGTGCAGCTGTAAGACCCTTGAGGAGGGGCAAGGGTTTGGCGGCGAGTTTGAGATGCGCCTCCATGAAAACGATGATGATGACTTCGCGGATGGCTTCTGCGCCAGCAGCATCACCGTTGCACACGCGGCCAGGAGTGATGACATTTTCCATGACAAAAACAACAAGAAGTGTGATACAGCGTATGATGATCAAATCAGCAACAATAACAAAATTGCGGTCGATATTCGTGATCATGTGAGTGTGATTTGCTTGGCTTTCATCTCGCCTCCCTTTAGGTTTTTTGTGCGGAATGATCAGGGGCGAGAGGGGTGGGGGATCGTAATGTTTTGTGAACAGGAAGGCCCAGCGGGCAGGGGGGAAGTGGGATGGAGACGCGAAGGGGTGGGATAGGGAGGGTAAATGTTTTCATGGGTTTCACGCTCTTCTCCTGGCGTGGTTTTGCGGATTGTGGCGACCAGCTGTGGTAGCATAGCCAATATAAACCTTGATTACTGACTTCAGGTGTCTCTTCTTTTGAGCTTTTGGCTTGTTTGCTGAATGTGCGAGGGGTTGCTGGATAATTTAGGAAGGGATAATCTGGAGATGATGACGGGATTAGCGATACAAACCATCTAAATTTTGCCTGGCTGGCAGCGTGGCTCTTGCGGTGTGACTTAGTTGTCACTGTCTGGTGATCTGAACTCTGCGACGTATATCTTGCGATCTGAACTCTGCGATGTATATCTTGCGATTCCCGCTGCCACGTGGACACTGATATTGAGGTTCTGTTATAAATGAGCCAAGTGGCGTTATAGGGGGAACACTTGTGCTCAGCATGTGGGGTGGTCCACGTGGTTTACTGCTGGTTTTGGAAGTGGGATCGCGATAATTGGCTTTCTATTCCCCTACTCTGATTACCCCTTCCCCTCGTAGTGTTGCATGTTTTCTATATGAGACGAGGGTTYCAGAATAGGAATAAGTTTTTACATTGCAATGGGCAGTTAATCCCCTTGGTAGGAGGGCAATCAATGCTGCTCATCGCGTTGGAAAGGGCGTGCTCTTGTGTTGCCATCACAACTGATTAGGACGAGGATTCTGACACGTGGCACGTTTATGATAAACTGGATGTTTGCAGGGACGCTGGACCCGATTTCCAGCAGGTGTTGCTCCCCACCAATAGATGGAGCCTTCCCGAGCGTGCTAGCGGTGTCTGCTCTTACCAGCACCTCTAGCATGTGCTCGGGCTGTTTTCAAAAAAAAAAAAAAAAAAAAAAAAAAAGGCTGTGTAGCGAGCCCCTATGGGCAGTGATGTGGCAAGTAGTAGGCTCCAAAGCAGAAAGCGCAGTCTGGCTGGAGACACAGTCAGATGCAAATATACGAGGCTTGGAAAGGTCTAAGGGGCTCGCCACACCAGCCTGATTTTCGATAGTTCTCTTGGCCACACAGCCTGTCGAAATTGGAGACGGGAAGAAATTCGCAAGTTGTCAGAGAATGCTTCTCAACCTCCTTTCGGAAGTTGTTGAATCCCCAGCCTGCTACTCCGATGATTTATTTTTTTTTCCGAAAATATATATATATATATATATATATATATATATATTTAAAAAGAAAAAAGAAAAGAGGGCATCTGGAAAACCGGTTTTCAGAGGTGCAGGCCGTTTTCTGGGGCCCCACTGCCTGGGAACGCACTCCGGAAAACTGCACTATTGCGTTTTCACATGACTTTCTGGTTCGAAAACTGGCACCGGGGGACTTTCCGCTGGAATTTTGTGCCATTTCCAAAGGGTACCGGGGGGGGGTGTCTCTTATACACATCTAGATGTGTATAAGAGACAGTTGCAGGGGC